AAACGAGTAAAAATAAACCTTAGTTAATTCAAAAGAAAGGTAAGAAAGGAGAAGAGTATACAGAATGGCTAAAATAAATCCAAATAAATTAATAATCACAGTAATGTAAACTGACTGAATCTGTCAAATTAAAAAGTAGAAATTATCAACCCATATAAAAAAGAACCAATAACATACGCAAATTATATGCTTTTAAAAAAGACCTATCAAGATATAAGCACAGAAACCGAGGAAGATACGCCAGGTTTCTATTAATGGCAGGCTAGTAAGCAGCAGCAAGCTTCTCACTGAAAATAACGGAAAAAGCTGGACAAAATATAAAATAGTTGTATCTTCTTAAAAGCATCGTACAGATGTTGTTTGCCTCAGGTACTGTGTTGAAGGATGGTGCGGCAGCGATAAAGAGAATATATAAAATTTAAAAATAACAATTACAAGGGGGTAAAACTGCTGATGTCTTAGTACATTTACATTCAGGGTAACTATTTACATTTACATATACATTCAGTGGCAACAAAGACCAAAGTCATTACATTCTTCAGTTCCATACACTCATATTAAAAAAAAAAAAAAAGAGTTCACTTAAGAATGTACTTGCTGAAGAATAAAACACAATTTTTTAAATTAATCTTGGAACACACACCTTTTTAATTTTCAGTGTGATGAAACTAGAAGCATGCATAAAACACTTCTGAAGTACAATGGCTGTCTTGAGAAAAAGCCTTTGTGCAAAGGTTTGTGTTGCAAGGCGAACTAGTTACTTCTTTCAAGAGCTGCCATTTTTACTTGAAAGAACAATGGCTAGAGAAAGTATAGTTATTCAGACTTTGGTATTTGGTATTTGGGCAGTTTTCTGAAAATGAACCAAGTGAGCCTGTCACTTCAAGGGAAACACTTAGTAGTATTTGTTGCCAAAATAACATACTGCAACAGGTTGAATGCATAAGCATCCATGAGAAACCAGCTGTCTTCTATTAAACCAGACATTATAGAGATTCCCAAAGAATGTGAAATACCACCCTCCTCACTATATTTTTTAAGTTATTTTTCATAAAATGTTTAACTTGTGAGTTTATTATTTTTAAATGGGTTGGTAAATACTTTTAAATTTCTCGGTTTTAATTTCTAATATGGTACACACAGATACAACCAACATAAACACAAGCTTTTTTGGGTCCTCTCTAACTTTTCAATAAAGGGATCCTGAGACCAGAATGTTTGAGAACTGCTGCTTACAGCAATAAAAGTGAGTAAAGTAGGACTGGATACAACAGTGCAGATGAAACAGACAATCATGATGGTTGTGGCAAAGAAGCAAGAACAGAAAAACTCATTTAATATGATCCCATTCATACGAAGCACAAATACGGGTAAAACTAAACTATATTGTTGGGGCGCCTGGGTGGCTTGGTTGGTTAAGCATCTGCCTTCGGCTCAGGTCATGATCCTGGGGTCTTGGGATGGAGCCCCGCATCAGACTCCCCGCTCAGTGGGGAGTCTCCTTCTCCCTCTCCTTCTGCCTCTCCCCCCTGGCTTGTGCTCTCTCTCGCTCACTCTCTCTCTCTCAAATAAATAAATAAAATCTTAAAAAAAATATATTGTTGAGGATGCATTAAGTAGGTGGTAAAACCACAAAGCAAAGACGTGATTTACATAAAAGTCATGATTGTGGTTATCTTTTGGAGGAGAGGGAGGGATTATGATTAGAAAGACCTAGGAAGGGGCATTTGGGGTCATGGCAATGTTTTATTTATTGATCTATACGAGGTCTAAACTTTCATTATTAATTTTATATTTACATTTTATTTGCAGTAAATTTCTGAACTAAAAAGTGTATTTTAAAAATAAGGGAAAGTTTCATTACTAAAGAACAGAAAATAAAACTAAATAGAAAATAATACAAAATATTAATAACAATAAAATTGGTACATTTATTTTGACAACTATATTGATTTTTAGGCAAAAAATATTTCTAGAGATCTAAGGATAGTATATAAGAGAAGATTCAATTCACTAAAAAGATTTAAGAAATCTATATTATTATAGCAGGGAGTAACAATGCTTCAAAATATATAAAATTTAAAAATAACAATTACAAGGAAAAATTAACAAGTCTATCACTGTAAGTATAATTTAACATTCTAATTAACAGATCAAGCTGACAAAAATATTGATAATGATAGAGGTTTAAAACACATATTAACATGTTTGGTCTTATATATAATACAACTCTGTACCCTAGTTGGAGAATACACATTCTTTTCAAACACAGACATTGTTTTAGTCCATAAAACAAGTTTCAATACATGTCAAAAACTGTATAAAAATTGGCATTCTTCTGACTACAATGGAATTAGGGCAATTAAAATAATCTTTAAAAAACTTAAAAAAACCATATAGGACATTTCAAAGTAAAATATACTTGATTTGCACTATTTATTCTTTTGAATTTTTAATACTTGTTTTCATTCCTGTGGCAAGATAATCAAGAGTTGAATATATGAGAAATATGGAAAGAATCATGGTTATTCAGAACAGAAAAGGCTACAAGGTAACTATTTTCATGGATATGAAGGAGAATGCTCAACCTTACACTGTAGCAGGAAATAATTTGACTTAATACAGGCAGAATCTACTGTAAGAGCGATTAAATTTTCTAACAGGTTATTAACAGAGGCCACAGAATCTCTCTATAGTCAAAGTCAGGAGGGTCCTTGCCTTTCCTGAAGGAACTTCTTCCTAAAGGTAGAATCTTAGGTTATATCCAGCTCCACGAACTGCACTCACATTAGATACTTTGGCACTCCAGTTGATCTACAATTTTGGAAACTAGCACATAACTGCTAGTTAATTCAAGCCAACCTGAGAATTGGTCTAGCATTGTTCCATACATTTATAGCCTTTAAAAAAGGTTAGGGGCATCTGGGTGGCTCAGTCGTTAGGCATCTGCCTTCAGCCCAGGTCATGATCCCAGGCTCCTGGGATCAAGTCCCGCATCGGGCTCCCTGCTCTGCTGGAGGCCTGCTTCTCCCTCTCCCACTCCCCCTGCTTGTGTTCCCTTTCTCGCTGTGTCTCTCTCTGTCAAATAAATAAATAAAATCTTTAAAAAAAATGTATTTTATATTCTTAGATGGAAAAAATGTCTTCAGTTAAATAATAAAAAAAATACTACCACAATAAAATGTAAAATCATATATTTACTATTAAATAAGCAAGCATAATATAAGCAAAATAGGCAATTTAAATCGGCTTTTTTTTTTTTTTAGATTTTATTTATTTATTTGACAGAGAGAGAGAGAACAAGTAGGCAGATAGGCAGGCAGAGGGAGAGGGAGAAGCAGGCTCCCCGCTGAGCAGGGAGCCGGATGCGGGGCTCGATTCCAGGACCCTGGGATCATGACCTGAGCCGAAGGCAGCCGCTTAACCGGCTGAGCCACCCAGGCGCCCCTTAAATCGGCTTCTTAATATCATTCTCTTATTCTCTGAGTTACTGCAATTTCTATATGTAACTTAAACTAGAGCTATGTTAGTACCTGTTTCCTTTTAATGATAGTACTTTTATGTATATTTTTATACTTTTATGTATATTTTTAAAAACCACATCATCATCTATATGAAAATTATTTGAGTTTAAAGGAAAAATGTAAAATGTCACAGTTGGAAAAATGGCTCATGCAATGACACATGAGATTAGAAGAATAAGTTAAAGTCACAAATATTATTAACATTTATTAAGTTTCAGATGGCATATGGCATTACAATCTATGAGATTTTCATTTTATACATTCTTACAAATTTTTGAAATGATTACTAGAGGAACATTAAAATTTTTAAGAAAATGGCAGACTTTATTTACTGGGAACAGTAGTGAATTTTGTAGTAAAAATTTAAAGTACTTGTGAGTTATCAAAACAATTAGTCATAAGGGTCCCATGGACTTGGCTTATTCTCCAGCCTGTTCTAGGTCCATTCCTTGTGACTGAAGCAAGATACCTTGGGTTTATTTTATGCTGAATCATCCTCCAATATATGTTCAAATCTAGAACAGAGTTAATTTTTATAGTATGGAATTTTGATCAACTCTCCAACACAGGAGACAGCACACCTGCTTTACAGTTGCACACTTACGACTGTAACACTTTCAAGCAGGATACTGAGTCAGGTAACCTGAATTGAAGGGCTCCTCTCAGGGGGATAATTTGAAAGATCCTTCCAAGTGACTTAAGGATCGTTGGGGAAATTCAATGAACTGTGCATGTTTACATTCAAAAGGGGCCATGGCCTATTCTCAGTTGTTTAGGAGCTGGGCTAACCAACAAGCTCTGACTTTCTAGGAGGAAGGAAAGAAGAAAAGCTTAGCATAAGAATATCTGGAAGGTATCTGCAGGAATTCTCAACTTTTTCAAGAAAAGAAGAGTCTGAAAATCATAATCCTCTTTGAGAAATAACATGATACACTGATATATTAAATATATCAGGTATCATACCAGGCTTTTGTATAGACCACAGGCAGTAGGCAGGCATCAAAAGTTTTAGAAAAATTTTGCAAAAATACTAATGACTAAGAAAAGTCTATCTATTAATATTCTCTTTATTAGAGTTGAGAAAAGACTGTATCAGATGGAGAGATCTAGTTCTTAAAATACCTGTGTTCTGCAGGAGCATAGCCTGAGAATCTGCTCCATAATTTGTATTTAACTCTTCAAACACTGCTGAAAAATATAAAATTTTCATTATTTTACCAGAGCTTTTGGTGGTTGTTCACTCAGCTTTTCCTTAGTTTAATCTAAGGTTAAAGATACACAGTGGCGCTGTAAATTTTAGTCTTCTCATAAATCTAGGAAGGAAATAGAAAATTTTGGCTTGGCTGCACCTTATTATATTCAATAAATTCCTAAACATTCTCAATAGCAGATATAGCTATATATAAAGAAATAACATTATCAAGTATAACAGGTGAGGACTATTTACATAAAGAACATTTAAAGTATTGTACATACACTATTAGTAGGAGAATGGTATCCATAAAGTTGAAGACGCTGACATAGAGCACAAAGGGCCAAATGAAGTGTCACATTTCAGAATGAACCCAAGTATAGCAAAAGAAAAAAAGAAAAAGACGACAAAATAATCAATTAGGAAGGGCAAATCATTATGCTACATTCTATATAGAGCACACACACAATACAAGTGGGATAAATGTTAAAGATGAGTAGCAAAGTTTTTCAAATCTCATATAATTAAATATTAAATGAATCTGTGCTCATTTCAACCATTTTCATTTTAACTTTCTGATCAGCTACTGCTTTGAGTAAAACATTCCTCTGAAGTACATGGTTTTATTTAGACATGCTTCAGCAATTCTATATGGGTTAGGGGAACAATCTAGATAGATGAGCATGGCAGTGGAGATGGTATGAGACATCTGCAGCGGAATCTTGTTCTGTTCTTTTTAGTGCTGTGATCTTAGGCAAGTTAATGAACCTCTCTAAGATGGCTTTCTCATCTGTAAATGGTATGATACTTACCTGGCAGAAATGTAATGATGACTAAATGGGCGTAACATTTATAATGGATATAGCACAGAGTGTCTCAAGAAATGTTATGTTCCCTTCTTTCCTTCTGAAGCATATGCTATTAAGTGGCTACATGTTTTAGCTCCTTTAATCTCCATAACAATCACATGTGGTCATCACTACTATTATCCCCATTGTACAAATGAAGAAACTGAGGCACAGGCAGCTTAAGGACCTGTTCAAGGTCACCCAGATAATAAATGACTCCTAAGCCTGTGTTATACTGTCTCCCTAATGTAATTGATATATTTTCACTACACACTAAATTTCAGTGGCTTAAAAACTCAAAAATCTCATCAGTTCAGATTTGCATTATTTAAAATGTGGCAACAATTAACAGTAAGTTACCACTAATCATCATTATTGTTAAACATAGTAACAAATATTTGTAGAGAGCTATACTGTCTTAGAATGCTATTTATTTAGTTCAGAGGCTGTACTAAAGTTTATTTCTGAATTGTTTTAAGGAATAGTTTTGATCGCTAAATTATGTAAATAAATTTCAGGAGCACTAATTAAACTCTGTAAGATAAATACCTACGAGGTACCTGTGTAGATCAATGACTCTAGTAGGCATTTCTTTACATATAAGCAAGTTATACAGTATATTACTTATAAATTCTTTTTATCTATTCTTTAAAACAAGTCTCCTTCTCCATATATTTGCTAGAGAATGCTTCCCTGACCTGTCGCATATAAAATTATACAATTTAGGGTATGCTGATATAATTTAAGTTTCATAATTCAGGTAGACTTTCCCTAATTAGTCCAAGTTAATGAGGTTTTACTATATCATTATTATGAGCTATTTGCATTAAATCAGCATTAACTTTACTTTACTTGGGCTGCAATAAAGCTCAGAGCCAAGCTTTGTGCTGACACTAACTTTTCCCAATGTGGGTTGTCTGCTATCATTTCTCCCTTTCCTCTCTCCCTTTGTTATTTGACTTACGTATTTTAGTAAATGTTAATGATTAAAATAGTATTGTGCTTTTCTTGGAAGATCCACAGGTCCTTTCTGGAAGTAGTATAAATAAACAAATAAATAAAACAGTTAAATTTCTGAAACTAATGTAAATACCACGTGTTTCAATTATGCTCAAGTTAAAAAAACACAAATCTATATCCATTGAAATATGATCTATTCTATCACTGAGGTATCTCAAAAGATTAATTAACATAGTTCAACCTCCTAAATGATATTTTATTAACAACTTGGCTATCCAGTTAAGTATAGTTAATCCATCAAAATTAAAACAATTGCTTACTCTTTCAATGTTATCTACAGAAAATAAAACTTATGAAGGTATTTAATTCTCTAGTGTTATTTGCTAATATTCTAAAAAATGGCATTTATGGGGCTAATTCCTATGGGATTTATAGATTATAATTTAAAAACCATGAGACCTGAATTAGAGAATTCGTAATGCCCCTTTTAATTCCTGGCTAACATTATATCAGCTCTTTGATTTTTTAACAGTGTCTTCCATAAGCTTTGTCAATTAGAATATTGAGGGTGGTTCAACAAATACTGATAATTATAGTCAAATATACTATGAAATAATAGGTATTTCATATCCTGATAATCTGATTTTATTAAATATAAATACAAACTTAATCTATTGGGATTGAACACGGCACCATCTGCTATAGATAATCCATGTTTTTAAAAAACATAATACATATCCTTATAACAATGAAAATCATAAAAAAAAGTTGCAACTCCCTGAGGTTAATTATTTGAATTCCAGGTAGACCAACTAAACTACTGCACAGGGTCACTAATTTGCAAAGGAAACAGTTATCATTTACATCTCAACAGAACGGTGCTTCTGCTAAGTGCCAGATGAAAAAATATGCTATAGTGGGTAAAAGTACAGTTTGGGAGCTGCCCAGCCATGGACTCCCATCTTGGCTTTGACATAATTACAGACAATAAGAGAACTATTAGCAGATTAAATGAGAAAATGCATGCAAAGCATCTACTACAGTCCCTGATAGTAAGATCTCAGAACATGTTTGTTATTTTTATTATATGAACCTGGGATACTGTCAGACTGAAATATGTGGGATAAACAAAAAGAAAACTGGTAGGAAAATGGAGGGAAATGTTGCTTAACTCTACCTTCAGAATAAGTTGAAAACGTTAGTCAAATTTAGTGCCACTAAATTCATTCACATGTATAATTAAATCTTTGCAATTCACCTTTAAGTTTTTTCATGCATAATGATCTGTATTCATCTATTATATGATATACCCTTCAAATCTCATGGATAACAACAATATGGATGGAAATGATATAATGAGTGGGATTATGGACACACATGTTTAATATCAATATTTGATATAATATTGATAGAGATGCATATAAATCTGAAGCAAATTTTCTATGTAAGAACTTCAGAAAGTTTTCCCAAAAGGGACAGCTCCACAGTTACAGACTTTAATTATTGTTTTTCAACATGAATAATTCTCAGCTAGAAAACCCACCTTAAACTACTATAAATTATTCTTACCAGCACTGCACGCTTTTCTTCATCTCCTTTTGTTTCTCTCTTTTCATTTTTTTTCCTGAATATCTCTTGAAGCTGAAAGAGAAAGTGATCAAGAATCAAATATCCAGTGAGTTTCTGGGTACCTAGTTACCACTCTGTGCTAGGTATATTCTAAAAACAAAGAATTAGCTTCATCTACCAAGAACATTAAAACTACTACAGATACATTTTCTGATACCAATTTTTTTTTCCTGAGGAAAAAAAACACACCCTTTGCCATCAGCAGCCTATGGTTCAGTTAAATGTACAAAATTATAGCTTTACTTTATCTCTAAGACATAAAGACAGGGAATTTGTGACACACAAATAAAAGAGATGAAGCCAACTGGGGTAGAAATAACACTGGAATAGAATTCAGGGACTCTGGGTGTGAGCCCATCTTCTGTCACATACTAATTTTGTGATGGTGGACAAGGTCACATATCCCTCACGAGGCTCCAATTTAGTCATATGTGAAATGAGGACGCCCCCTAAAGTCCCTTTCAGGTAATTGTACATTGTGGGCTCTGCGTACAACCCCTTGGACAAGTTACTCTAATTATTTGAGGGATTGTTTTCCATTTCCAGAACATGTAGATAATTCCTTACTTTAGAGGAATATTTTTTTTTCCTCCAGCTACATTGAGGTACAATCACCAGGTCTTGTAAGAATGCTGTGCAAAGGAAATATTACAGATAGTTACTCAGCACATTGCCTGTCACATAGTAACCTCTCAAGAAATGTCAGCTCTATTATCACCTCTTTAAAATCCTATTTTACAAATGGAAGCCTAGTCCTACCTCTATCACAGCTTTCTGGGGAGGTCACTGTTTGTGGCTTTGTAACTGGAACAGCTATCTTAACTCTTCATTTCATTTTGTATGGCAATAGTTGAAAGTCAAATAAAACGTATCACCTCCCAAGATATGTGATAACACAAATACAGTATAGAATCTGAATGATTTTTTAACAAATACATTCATTTTCACACTTTTTCTTAGTGAAAAGAGTTTTTTTTTATTTTTTAATTTTTATTTTTTTAAAGATTTTATTTATTTATTCATGAGAGACAGAGAGAGAGAGAGAGAGGCAGAGGCAGAGGGAGAAGCAGGCTCCCCGCAGAGCAGGGAGCCCGATGCGGGGCTCGATCCCGGGACCCTGGGATCATGACCTGAGCCGAAGGCAGACGCTCAACCGACTGAGCCACCCAGGCATCCCATGAAAAGAGTTTTTAGCAAGGGTTATTAATAATCATTTTTTAAGTAGGCATGAGAATCATAGGTTTTAGACCTCTACAAGGAAGTCAGCTCAACTCTACCTCCTGCTTTCAGGAATTCTTTGCTGTTTACAAACAAATAAAAACAACAAACAAAAAACATCACTTAGGAGGCAGCAGGACAGCCACTGCAAAGAGTAGAGAGGGGAAACAAGTTGTACGTGAACGTTTTTACCTCCCATCCCCACAAACAGACAATATTCCAAAGGACATCTATAGAGACACCTTTCAATGCACTGAGTTCCTAAAGGTACTCTTTTAGTCGATGGGGTAGAACTTGGCAGTGTTGCCACAGAAAATTTATTAAAAATTATTTAGAATACTAGGCCCATTCTGAAAGTCCTAAAAGACAGTTTTATGCTATCATAACAAAACTATATTAAACTAAATCTGTTTATTTTAGGGTGTTAGGAACATATGTCTATCTTTGCAGTGAAACTGAAAACTCTCACCTCCCCACGGCATCCCGAAAAGCACTCAAATGAGGGGTCCTTCATGGTTCCAGGTTCCAATGGTGTGACTCAGGGACTGTCCCCAGGCAAAGGCTACATGGGTGTTAGAGTAAGTCATCTGACAGATCCCAGTAATTAGTCTGCTTGCTTCCTTTTGAATGGCCACTGATTATGACAAGGATTTTTATCTCTTCCCTTTTCTACCACAGAAAACAATGATTTCATAGTTTCTCTTCCATGTTCCAGCGTCTGAGGAAAATACTAAGCTGTTTAAGAGGTTTTCTGAGGGATTTTTAATGGCTTGTTACAAAAGAAAATAGAAAATAAAATGGCTATTTATATGCCATCTCTCCCTTTTCTTTTAGCTAGGAATTATAGGTAAATACAGAATTGAACATAAATGTTAAGGGTAGAACTTGTTACTCTAAGGATCTCTACTTTGGAGAAAAAAAATAGAATAGGCATTTTGCCACCGAAGCAGATGCAGGATCCATGGGTAAAAAGAAATAGGAAAATTCCGGAAAGGGGAGTGGCAAGATCAGTGAGCAGCTGATGATGTTGCCAAACCAGCATCAAGCTGCATCAGTCAGGTGAGAAAGACTGAAGGCAGATACCTAAGAACAATCTTATTCTCCCCATTTTAGATCAGCCCTTGTTCAAAGACAAGAGAAAGGAATAGCAAAATGGGGACAAGACTGGAATATAAGGCAGTCATGAGTGGAAGAGAAAAGCAGAAAAAAAAATCACAGGTCCTATCGTGAGAAGGAAGGGAAGTTCCGGTGGCAAAGAGCTGTGGCTGGGGGCTGATACGATGGGGTCTGAGCATACCCGAGCATATACCACACCTCTGAACTGCCTGTTATCCACCCAGTGGAAAATATCTGACTCATTTCAAATGTTCAGAAACATGTAAACAACTATAATCATCTTTATATAATGAATACAATTTATATTTTTATAATATAAAAATTTTTTAAAGTACACAATGCTGTACTTCTTCATTAAATTAAGGAGAAAGCATAAATTTTTCACTCTTCCTTCTACGTTGTTCCAAATAATGCAAAAACATAAGGATGTAAATATCAATATTTATTGATAAAATGCAGCATATAATATACATACCACCAAAAACTCCTTTTTATCCACCATCTCATTGCCATCAGTGTCAAACATGTTGAAAGCTATTCTAAAACCTGCATGTGGCTCTGCCAGAAAGAACAGAAAAGCACTTGTGAAATGGAAAAATGTTTTTAAAGTGCAGTTGTGAATAGTTAAGTATACTCTGTACAAAAATACTTTCTTTCACCAAGAAATTAAAAGCAGGTTACTATTAATGAAATATAATAAAAGCTACATATGTATACATATTTCTGTTTCATGTATTAGCACTCTTAGCAACAAAATTGATAATACACTTTAAAAGTATTTGTCTGATACCTGCTGTGCAACACAGGCAGTATAATTTAACCACCTTAACTTCCAAAAAGAAGTACTTCTTTTTGTTATCCCAAGTTTGTCAGTTTCAGAGGGAAATAGCAAATCATCACATATGTTCAATATTTAGAACACAAGAAAAAAAATATGACACAATGGACCAATCCTGATTCTTAGGAAAATCAGAATGGAAATGACCTATGAAAATAAATGTCAAGCACAAGAGATTACATAGTGGGTTTAAACTTTCAGAAGCTTCAAAAGGAGACATATAAAATAAAAGAGGCTTGGATAATTCTCAATTTCCCCAAAATACAAGGAACAATTGCTTTTCTGAGAAAGACGCACTTGTAAACACTAAGAACTGTTTAATTTTATGAACCTTATAATGAGGTTCAATCCCTTTATCTTCTAAAGCATAAAGAAGAAAACCTCCCACAGAAGAAAACTTACATATCCTTCAAAGAGAAGCTCAGTGCACATGCCTTTGTGAAACATCTGACCCTTTCCTTTTTTAAGATTTCATCCATTCATTTATTTTAGAGAGCACACACAGGCACACGCAGTCGCGTGAGGGGTGGAGTGGTAGAGGGGGAGCGAGAGGGAGAATCTCAAGCAGACTCCACATTGAACGCAGAGCCTGCTGTGGGGCTGGATCTCAAGACCCTGAGATCATGACCTGAGCCAAAACCAAGGGTCATTAGCTTAACGGACTGATCCACCTAGGCGTCCCTCTGACCCCTTCTTTTGAGATGACTGGCAAAAAGTTTTTAAAAGGGGCCTCCCACAGATATATTTGGCATTACCTGCTGTAAAATCTTGAAACTAGCAAAAGAGAAGCATGTAACCTTACTTACTTTTTTTTTTTTTTTTAAGATTTTATTTATTTATTTGAGACAGAGAGAATGAGAGAGAGAGCACATGAGAGGGGGGAGGGTCAGAGGGAGGAGCAGACTCCCTGCAGAGCAGGGAGCCCGATGCGGGACTCGATCCCGGGACTCCAGGATCATGACCTGAGCCGAAGGCAGTCGCTTAACCAACTGAGCCACCCAAGCGCCCGTAACCTTACTTTCTTAACTGGCAATAGCTGTCTCTGAAAATGGAAACAGAAGCCAGTCTTATATGCAGGCTCATTTCTGGCATATAGTTTAGGAATTGAAACTTACTTTCATTAGCATTCAGTTAAGAAAGAAATAAAAAATTTCATTATCTCTAATAACCAAGTTTTAAGTTAAAATGATCTTGAAAATACACAATGAAAAGAAGTCCTCACTGTTTGGAAGGGAAAATGAGGTTAAAATAATAAATAGCAAAGAGGAAAGAATCATAGACAGGTAAGGTGAATTCTCTAGCCCACTTTCTGCCAGCTCTGTTTTCACATTTCTCTTGGTTCTAATCTAAAAAACATCCAAAAGTTTTCAATTCAAATTCCCAGAAGTTTCTAAAATAGGTTCTGAACTCCAAAGGAAGATTCACTGCATCCAAAGATCCTAACCTTTCCATGTAAGCAAAACCACCGTATGTTTTCTTCCTACACTCTTATCCATACCCTGTCCCATCTCAACAAGTGGCTTTCCTAACCAGTTCTATTATATTCTTGCCTGTCACTCTGCCAGTTTAGGTATTTCAGACTTAACAGTTTTGTAACCAAAGTTGTTCTATAGCTAACAATATAACTTTTTCACAAGTCTCTGAGATATCCTTGGTACTCCTCTAGTTTTCATGGAGTATTCATCATTGACTAGACTTGAATCATAATGGCTTCCAGTGTGGAACAACCTCAGATAGTTGTATTACTAACTGCACAACACTTCTTGTTCTTCAGCACCAACATTTTAATTTCATTTTGAGTCCAGGAGGAAAAAAAATACAAGAAAAAATAAAGGATGATAATTTTCAAAATTCATATGCACACATGTACATCCCCCAAACTTCCTGCGACAGAACTCCAACATAACATCATTCATTACTAAATTCAGAATAACATAATGGCTCTGATTTTTCTAATCATAGAAGTACAAGGAATTTTATGACTTGTTTCTAATGACAGAGTTTCACTGATAATTCGTATTTCCAGACATCTCTACAAATCCCCACAAACAGAAATCCCTCTAGCGATATTCTTTCATTTATTCTTTTTTTTCACTCATTCACCTAGTTTTTGAGAGGCTACCATGTGCTAGACACTGCCCAGAAATGGACAAAAAAGAGAAAATCTCTGCCATCATGGACCTTGCATTCAAGTATGGGGAGACGAAAACATACAAACCAATAAACAAATACTTTCAAGTAGTTTTAAGTGCTATGAAGAAAATAAAACACGGTAAAGGGATAAAAAGGGAGAGGTAAGAGAGGGCGCTATTTTAGGGAGGATAGTCAAGAAGCGTTCACATTTCACATTCAAACGAAAACTGAATAATGTTTATTATCATGAGGATCTTGAGGAAAAAGCACTGACAGCAGAGGGAGCAGAAAGTACAAGTTCCTGAGGTGAGACTTCAAGGAACAGAAATGCCAGGTGGCTGGAGCACAGTGCACAATAGCAGGTAAGTTCCTGCATTAAATGCAATGAAATTTAACTGAAATCATTAGTAAGCCCTTCCTATATTTCATAAAAATTGCTGCATATGAGAGGCAGAGAATAACAAAGCTGTTTTAGTATGTATAATGGGTGTTCTGATACACTCACAGTTAGAAAACTCCTTCTTTCACACTAGTCTTAAGAAACTTAAGATTTCAATGAGTGTAGCAGGAAATTTACAAATCCCTACATGACCTGACTTTTAGGCTTTCATGTAAACCAAAAGGAATGATGTATGATCTAAAATTTATAATTTATGAGCACTTTATTCCTATACCGTATGTCATAAAAACATTTATGTCTTTGACTCTTGATAGTGCTATTTGCTGATAACATTTAGACATGAAATTTGCAAAATAACCATAGATAAACCTAAAGTGATTTTCAATAGTAAAAGAATCTAAGATTTGTTTTCCAAGATTCTGATTTAAAAACAAAACTGTATCCAAAAGTAGACTCAATGAGTACACTTACTTGTTAAAATACATAAAAGAAAAAGATATTCTGTGTAAGAAATCACACCTAGAAGAAAAATAGTATTAGTAATGCTATATATAAAGTATTACTTTATCAAGCAAAATATTATTCTTACAGTAATAAGTAATATTAATAAGGAACTTACTGTTTTAAAGAACAAGCTAAGTATTGTTTTAAACAAGACTAAACTATTAAAAATCATGGCAAAAGAAGCAACAAAATTAATTTTAATTTGTTTCACAATGCTTCTGTGGAAACTCATGCAAAATTACCATTAATACTCCTAGATATATTGGCCAAGAAAGCAAAATTATATTGTTTATTTATAACTATAACTTTAAACTTGTTGCTAGTTTTCAATGGATGAACTAACATAAAATAAAAAGGTTGGAAATGGTTAAACTGTAAAGTGCTTAATTACTTCTTAATAACTCTTGAAAAAAATAACAAATAACTCTTGAAAAAAACATTTAGATATTCCTGCTTACAAATATGATTTCTGTAATTGCATTAAAAAAACAAAACTCTGTATCACTTTTCTGCTTTCAAGTTATTATTATTTTTGACAAAGTTAATGCTTCTATTAAATGTACTCTAAGAAGTTTTTGTCTTAATTACATGGCTTACCCTTTCTGAATATTGCATCCTGAGTTCTCTGTAATCCTAGTATTACAAAGTTTAAAAGGTGTTTGTTTGGAGTAAATACAAATATATATTCTGTTACTCAAATTCTTGCTTTTGGACATAACACCCCAAACTAGAACTAACACTTAATTGAGCTTCTAGGTAGATCCTGAGAAAATTAAAATCAGGAATAAGTCAGTAACACTTCTCCACAGATATCAGATAGTCCAAATGTTTAGTAAAAGGGTATACAAAAATCCTTAAATAATCAGATTGTGAACCTTGAAAGTCCATTTTACCTGATGTTCTTTGAGGCTCCGCTCTTTGTTACAGAACAAAGAGAAGAGAAGTCACTGTCAGGCAGTTTGTCAGAAAACTTGAAGGGAACTAGCTGGAGGCCCTGAAAGCATTCCCTTCTTTTGTTTATACTACAATATTGTGACCTATAGACAGATAGTTCTGGTTGACTGCCATGAATGTTATGGGAGAAAGATTCTGGAATGGTCAATGTATATAAAAGATACAATACCTAGATTCCATAGGGATCCCTCATAGAAAGAGAGAGAGAGAGAAAGAAAAAGAGAGAGAGAGAGAGAAGGAAAGAAAGAAAGAGAAAGAAAGAAAGAAAGAAAGAAAAAGAAAGAAAGAAAGAAAGAAAGAAAGAAAGAAAGAAAGAAGAAAGAAAGAAAGAAAGAAAGAAAGAAAGAAAGAAAGAAAGAAAGAAAGAAAGAAAGAAAAAGAAAAGAAAAGAAAGAAAGGAAGAAAGAAAAGGAAAAAAGGGGAATGGGATTGGGAAATGGACTCTATGTCTCTACAATCCCATCATCACTGACTGTTGTTCTAATTGACCTGGTGGAACACACAAGAGATGTTGGTTGATATAAAGAAGTTTAATAACTACATCTTTTATTTGATAATTAACTCAAGATTTCCCTCAGTGAACAATTAGCAGTGAGAGTACTAATCATAATTATCATGGTAGGTACTTGTTTGTAGGACCAAATGGTTTTTGAGGTGGTGTAATCCGCAAACAAGAACAAAGTGAAATTTATGATATAATTTAATAAAAATGATCAACGAAAAGAGAAAATACTACTCAACATGAACTGTAGATTCTTAATGCTTTCCAATTACAAAAATGTAAAACTGTTAGACTCACCTTTTAATTTATTTTAAGGCTACCCAAGATCAAAAAATAAAATAAAAATGCATATGCTAAGCATATAAAAAAAGAGGGTAAGAAAGATGTCAACTACATTTCTTTTGAAAATTCAATAAAAAAGTTCTAAGGGAAGCTCCTTAAAAACATTATACTGTTTAGTTCCTATATCATGATACATTACACAGCTGGCTGTTATAACTAAGTCTGAAATATATGTTTTCATAAATGTTGCATAACAATTAATTTTTTGTAAAACTGCATAACATTTTCTTGCGGGGGTAATACTTTAAGCAGATAAAATGCAACTGTAAATTAATCTTCAATAGCTCTCAAGATTTAGCTTTAAAATTCCTTTGCCACTTAAACCAATTTATAAAAAAGCAAGGCTCTCTGGGACATTCTACTTCGCCTAACCTAATGGTTCTAAAACTTTTTGTGTACATGGATTCCTTCGATAATCCAATCACCATGACATAGCTCTGCACTATCCTACAGGGTAGCCATTGGTCACATGTGGCTACTTAAATTTAAAATAAATAAAATTAAATACAATAAAAAATTCAGTTCCTCTGTTACAGGAGCCACATTTCAGGTGCTTTTTTTAAAAGCCTACTGGCTAGTAGCTACTATGGGAGACAACACAGAAATAGAACATTTCCATCACTATAGATAATTCTCTGGGATAGCACTGAATAGATCATTTCCCCCCCAAAATTTGCAACTATTCATGTAACATAAAGATTAGGACAAGCCTAAACCCAGGGCTTCCAGATTCAACCCCTTCTATGACCACAAAGAATTTCCTTTTTCCATGCATTTGTTTTTCTCAGATGATACTTGATCCAATTTGTATTTTCCCATGAGAGGTATTAAAAGTAAATATTTTTATATTTGCTAACTTATCTTTCTGAGCTTTGATTTTTCCTAATCCTATCATCCCACCCTAGATTTGAATGACAATCTTTAAGACAATTTCCAGGAAAAAATTTCTAAGAGCTTTAAATATACCATGGCTCTGATTTCGCAAAGATTTTAAAACCCTAATTATGCAAAGCCTACGATGAAAGGTAAGGTGTCTACCCCTTTCAGATTCCATTTGAACCAGGTGGAAGCAATCTGATTTTCTAATTCCACTCAGATAAAATACATGGATTATAATTATCCTTTAAAATATTTGTCTTCATGCTAGAGTATAATTATTTTCAAACCAATATCTGTCAAAATTGATGAAAATGAAAAAGGTAACTGTTTATATAATTTCTTTAATATTTTTATTTCATATACTCTTATATTTGAAAATATAAAAAAGTATATTTACAAGAAAAATTCCTTTTTAAGATTAAAGAGATTTTATTAATTAGTCTTTCCTATAAATATGTACCAAAAGTTAAGTGTAAAAGAAAATGGCAATAAAAACTATATAATTTGATTGCGAGGAAATGTATGAATTTATAACAACTTAGCTTAGATACATAGATATAGATCATATAGTAGGTTGAAAGGTGGATTTTGCAACGAGTGTTGTTTTAAAAGAAACATATTCAAATTGGGTGACCAAAAGACATATCCAATAAGTTCTTCACAGTGATTATTAAATCTTTTAAAAATCTATAATCTCCTGGAAGTAAAATGGAAGAAAAATAGTTGGAGATCAATATTTTTGAAAAATGCTTTCTATAATTAAATATAACCCTCACTACTCAATATGGTTGGAAAGTAATTTTTTATGCCATAAAAGTTCATTTTCTTCTAAAAAATTTGAAAGACATGAATAATATATTTAAAAATAAGAAACACTTTTAATCCCGCTACCCAGAAACAATCATTAATATTTTGGTATTTTTCTTTTCAGTTTTTTCTCTATGCACACACACATCTGCACATATAAGTAACTTGTTATATTATTTTAAGTATAAGGAAAAATATATATAAAGAGTATAAATAATACAGTGTCCATTTTAAAATGCATAAGTACTAAAGTTAACTTACCTTTTTCTTTAAGATTACGAAAAAGCTTTGAAGATCCTTTCCAAACTGGTGGTGTTTCTGAGAGCATTTGATTTAATTCCTATAACATAAGGTATCATAACATTGATTAATAGGTAAACCACTTACTTATAAAATAGATAAAAAATATTTAAATGTCATATACAAAAAAATTCTCCACTTAGAAGACCTGAGACATGGCTGTATTTATTCTATTCTATACCTGTGGTTCATTCAACCACAAAACCCAATATTTGCCCACAGTCTAAATATAAAGTAAATCATAAAGAAGCTATGTTGAATTCAATTAGAGCTACCAAAAATTTCAGATAAATTTTGCAAGTGGAGGAACATATATAAAATATTCAGGTTAAGGGGCACCTGGGTGGCTCAGTCGTTAAGCGTCTGCCTTCGGCTCAGGTCATGACCCCAGAGTCCTGGGATCGAGCCCCGCATCGGGCTCCCTGCTCCGCGGGAAGCCTGCTTCTCCCTCTCCCACTCTCCCTGCTTGTGTTCCCTCTCTCGCTGTGTCTCTCTCTGTCAAATAAATAAATAAAATCTTTAAAAAAATAAAAAATAAAAAAAATAATCAGGGTAAGATAAAACAGTGAGTTTAAGTTTAGGAACCAGTTAGAAAAGGATAGTTTCATGAAAGTGGTAAGTAAAGGTAAATTTCCTAATCAAGGTCAGAGATGATGACCTGGCTTCACATACTGTCTCTTTTCTGTAGCCCTCTTGGATTTAGGGAGCTTTGTGGAGGAAGTAAATGGACAGAGGATCAAATTGGGAAAGAATGAAGAATATTTTAGTAGTGACTCGAAGAGTGCTGATGTCAGATGGAGTTCAGGGGTATTGAGTGATTATGACCACTGTTTCCTTTTTTTTTTTTCTTTCTAATTTTAACTTACATACTCAGTAAAGAACACAGACTTCAATTGCTTAGTCAGCCTTTTTTGTTTGTTTCTAAATCAAACTACCACAGCAGGTTGGGGAGCTATTTTGGAAAATTTAAACATTTGAATCATTGTTCAGATACTAAAGGAAATTTGAATTTATTGTGCATACTGAGTTCAAAATAATTAAATGAAAATTGTATTTTGGTTAATTGTAAAGAAAAATTATTAAAGGATTTGATGAGATAAACTGAAATAATTTGAAATAAAAAAGGTGGTTTGCTAAGTAACACACTGAAAAACACTAGAAACCACTTCTATTCCCAGACCTGATTCTTCTACTCAACATGCGGTTCCCCAATAGCCTAGGCATAACCTGTGAGCTTGTTCAAAAAGCAGAATTTCGGTTCCCATCCCAGACCTACTGAACCAGAATGTGTATTTTTTAACAAGAACTCCGGGCGATTTTCTTTCTCTACATTCCAGTTTGAGAAGCACTTTCAGACAAACCCTTCCTGATGTGGCTGTACCTAAAAATGCTCTGTAACATTATAAACTGTTTTTTTTTTTTTTTTTTTCATTACAAAGCTGAGCTGACAGGCAAATAAGGAAACCCTGGGATGCCAAAGGCAGCACAGGTATTTTTAGGGGATTTATGGATTCCCCGAAGCCCACTGTGAACCCCGCTTTCATTCCCTTCATAGTGCTATCTATCTCTGCACTGCAAGTAACAGACGCCACCAGATGATCAGTAGCTTCTGATTAGAATAGCAACAGCACAGAGGTAAGAATTCGGGCTTGAATAATGACGAGAAGCTGGAATATTTACTGCTTAAACAATAAACTCATAAATATTTTTGTTAGAGCAAGAGATTAAAAAGAACATTTTGCATATATTTTATATACCTTAATGTATACCACATCTATTATATAAATATTAACCTCTCTTTCTCCATTTTAACTATTTCCATATATTCAACTTCATCTCTTCCAGCTTGAACTCAGCTAGAGTTTACAACTAAAAAAAAAAAAAAAAAAAAAAAATCATAGCTACCTTTTATTGAGTGCCCTCTATGTGCCTGACAATATATAATCTCTCATTTAATTTTAATTAACATCCTCATTATGCATATTTTACTGAGACTTAAAGAGGATAAGAACTTACCCAAGGTCACACAACTACTAAATGATTGACCAGATCCTTACTGACTAAGCAGTTTATTTTAGTAATAATTCAGCTTCTTCTGGTCTGGATTATCTAATTAACACACTGATTTTTTTTTTTTTTAAGACTTATTTATTTGAGAGAGCGAGAATGAGAGAGAGAGGGAGAGAGAGAGAGAGTACATGAGAGGGGGGAGGGTCAGAGGGAGAAGCAGGCTCCTCGCTGAGCAGGGAGCCCGATGCGGGACTCGATCCCGGGACTCCAGGATCATGACCTGAGCCGAAGGCAGTCACTTAACCAACTGAGCCACCCAGGCGCCCCAACATACTGATTTTTGTCTTCAGTTCACTTTAAGAAGTTTTAAAACGTATTAAAATCTGTATTTCCGCTCAGACTGGGTATTTCTCTCCCCATTCCCAGTGCCTAGATCTTGGTCTCTTACATGTAGTAGTGTTATAATAATAAATAATTTGGGGCATCTGGGTGGCTCAGTCGATTAGGTGTCTGCCTTTGCTCCGGTCACAATCTCAGGGTCCTGGGATCGAGCCCCACATTGGGCTCCCTGCTAGCAGGGGACCTGCTTGTGCTCTCTCGCTCTCTCTCAAATAAATAAAAAATCTTTAAAAAAATAATAAATACTTTGGTTGGCCTTTGCCCCTGGTTTCTGGAAGATGCTATATCCTTGAATCACACTTGGTTATAGGATGACCCTGGATGGGTTACTGATAGCCAGAAAGGACCACCATGGGATTAGAAGGTTGGGGCTCTGAGGTCTCCCTACCTCTGGGGAGGGGTAGGGAAAGGGAACGGAGATTGAGTTCAATCACTGGGCCAATGAATCAATTATACCTACATAATGAAACCTTCAATAACAACTCAACACCCAAGCTCAGTGGAGATTGCCACTAGTAAATATATTGGTGTGCCAGGAGGGGTGACACACTTCTCCATGGGAAGAGGGCATGGAAGGTCTGTGTTTGGGATCTTCCTATACCTGTCCTCAGAGTCTCTTCATATGGCTAGTCCTGATTTGTGTCTCTTAAAATAATTATAAACTGTTAATTATAAATACAGAATGTGTCTGAGTTCTGAATCAGTCTAGCAAATTACTGAACTTCAAGGGGAATTATGGGAGCCTCTTGGATTTGTAGCCAGTTGGTCAGAAGTGTGGGGGGCCTGGGGACCCTTGATCTTGCAGCTGGCATCTGAAATAAGGGCAGTCTTGTTGGGGACTGTGCCCTTAAATCAGTGGAGTCTGACACTAAATCTGGGTGGTTAGCATCAGAGTTATATCGCATATTGTAAGTTAGTATTAAATAGATATTTGCTGTATCAAATTCATTTTCCTAGAATTATGGTGCCTTGTAAAAGATTTATATAATTTTCTTAAATAAGTATAATTTTGTCTTATTATATAGTTAATATATATGCATTATAGGAAAATTAGCAAGTATAGAAAATAAAAACTAATTTCAATCCAGGAATGAACCATAATTGAAAGTTGTTTTTTTTTTTTTTTAAAGATTTTATTTATTTATTTGAGAGAGAGAGAATGAGAAAGAGAGAGCACATGAGAGGGGGGAGGGTCAGAGGGAGAAGCAGACCCCCTGCTGAGCAAGGAGCCCGATATGGGACTCGATCCCGGGACTCCAGGATCATGACCTGAGCCGAAGGCAGTTGCTTAACCAACTGAGCCACCCAGGCGCCCCATAATTGAAAGTTTTATTTAAATCCTTTTAGTCTAATTCTCTCTAGGCATAATTATATAGCTTTTTTGTCATTGCAGCAAATATTAAATTATTTTCTACATATTGTTTTGTAACTTACTCTTTGCACTTAATACTTCATGGGCATATTTTCCTGCCAAATATTCTTCATTGCATTTTAATGGCTACACAGCAGTTCTATATTAGCAGTTCTGAAATGTAAATTCTTTTTTTTTTTTTTTTCTAAAGATTTTATTTATTTGACAGAGAGAGAGACAGCGAGAGCAGGAACACAAGCAGGGGGAGCAGGAGAGGGAGAAGCAGGCTTCCCATGGAGCAGGGAGCCTGACGCGGGGCTCGATCCCAGGACCCCGGGATCATGACCCGAGCCGAAGGCAGACGCCCAACGACTGAGCCACCCAGGCGCCCCTGAAATGTAAATTCTTTATACTCTTAAAAATTATTATGGACCCCAAGGAGATCTTGTTTATGTGGATATCATATTTAATGCATGTGGAAGTAGAAATGATAAATTTTTAAACACAAAAATACACAAACACATATTCTATTAGATGTCAGATTGATGGCATCATCAATCATCCTGTAGCCTCTAAAAAACCCCTCTGTACACTTGTGAGAGAATGCAAATAATAAAACAAATTATCTTCTTGGTGTTATTATAAAAATAGTTTTGACTTCATGGACCCCTGAAAAGGTGTTTGCACTTTAAGAACAGGCAGTCTATATTATTCTGCAACTTGCTGTTACTCAACTTTCAGTCTTCTAGGTCCATTCATAACTTGGATGTATTTTTTCATTGTGGTTCTGTATTACTGTATTTGTCTCTGAATGCCTATTTCACAATTTTTTTTATTCATTTCTCAACTGACTGACATTTATATTGTTTCTTTTTTTTAATTTTGGCTATTACAATCGATGCTGCAGAAAATACGTACAGGACTGCTGGTGTAATATTTCTCTAGTATACTTCTCTAAAAGTAGAGTTTTTGATGTGTACTTTCAACTTTATTACATTTGCCAAATTCCTCTCAAAAGTGAATATACAATACACCCTCACCTGGTTCTTTCCTCTTCGTTGCTAATTATTGGTCCTGCTAGATTTCTGGAAGCTGATAATCTGATGGGTGTGAAACAGTACCATATTATTGGTTTAATTTGCATATCCCTAATCACTAGTGAGGTTGAGGTCCTTTATATATATTTATCAGCCATTCTATGTTTACCCTTTTTTTCTTACTGAGCTGATTATCTTTTTTATATTGACTTACAGGAGTCCTATATAAGTATAGTACACTTAATATTTTGTTAATATATTGCAAGCATATTTTCCCATCTGTCATACATCTTTTAACATTGTTGGCACTCTTTTGGTATGCCAAAGTTTCTGATATTTAATTTAGTAAAATCTTCCAAAATTTCCTTTGAGCTTTGTTTTATGTGTCTCATCTAATGAAACCTCTTGTGTCCTTTATTTTACTTCTAATATTTCAGAATTTTTTGTCAAAGTAAGAACTTAATCCATCTGAAATTTGCTTTTGTATATGGTGGTCAGTTTGATATTTAATTGTATTTAGCCCCATTTTGGAAAGACTATTGTTCCAATACCTAAAGGTCAATCCTTCCTCCAGGGATTTACAGATCTTCCCATACATGCCTGGGTCTGTTTCTAGATTCTATATTCTATTATTTTCACCTAATTAAAAAATTCTTGCAATAATATAATACTATTTTAATTATAGCTCTATTATTAATCTTAATATGAGACAGGCCCAATTGTTCTCATCCTATTGTTTGTCTGTTTGCTTCCCTTCCTTCCTTTTCAGAATTGTTCGGAAAATTCTGGGCCCTTACTCTTCTAAATGAATCATCTGTGAACATGACATATTTCTCTGCTTACTCATATCTCTTAAAAAATAGAATAATATCTTGCACATCTTCTGTTAAGTACACTAAGAATCTAATACTTTTTGTTGCTATTGTGAAAAGTACCTTATTTGATAGTGCAGTTTCTAATTGCTATTGCTGGTGCAGAAATACTAGCAGCAACCTTGCTAAACTTTTACTAAATCTGAATTTGAAATCTATGCATTTTTATATTTTTCTCTCAATCATATTGTTTCTTACTGTCCTGCTCCTTGGAACCTATTTTTTCTTGTCGTACTACATGTTATAGCCTGAGTTATGTCTACCTCAAATTTGAAGTCATAATTCTCAGTACCCAGAATGTGACTGTATTTAGAGACGGCCTTTACAAAGGTAATTAAGATTATTAAACGAGGTCATTACAGTTGGTCCTAATCCAATATGACTGGTGTCCTTATAAGAAGACATCAGGATACAGACATGCACAGAACAATGATGGGGAGATGACAGAGGGAGAAGACAGACATCTACAAGCCAAGGAGGGAGGCCTCAGAAGAAACCCACCCTGCCAACACCTTGATCCTGAACTTCCAGCCTCCAGAACTGTGAGAAAATAAATTTCTGTTGCTTAAGCCACCCAACTTTGGCATTTGTTACAGCAGCCCTAGCAAATTAATATACTCCCTTAGCTTAGACCTGTAATAAAACAGTGAGTAGTAGTTGTGATAGCATATTTGTATTCTATCTAATTTGAAAGAGAATGTCTAAAGTTTTATATGTAAACATCATGTTTGCTACAGGCTTTTGGAAGATTCTCTATAACTGATTAAGGAAGTTCCCTAGAATGCTATACTAATATGTTTCTTTTTTTTTAAATTGAAGTTTATCATACATTTAAAAGTGCAAAAGGAATATATGTAAAATTTAAAGTTAGAAATTGTTAAGAAACAGAAAATTACCAGTACTTTAGAAGCCTCTTTGCACTTCTCACTGATGATATTTCCTTCCATCTCCCCCAGAGGTAAATATTGTCTTGAATTTAATATTTATCATTCCTTAGTTTTCCCACCTATGAATGCATCCTTAAGTCGTTTCTTTTTAGACTTTATGTAAATGGAACTGTAATTTATATTTTTGTGAACTGCCTGTCATTATGTTTCCCAGATTCATCTAGTTTAAGCACCAGTATAATTCATTTGTTTTCACTTGGTATACTATTCACTGTATGAATATATAAAAACTTATTTATCTTATTGACATTGTACTGTAGTCTTTCTGGCCAACCATGAATAATCTAATAACATTCCTGTGAACCTCTCATGCATGTACAAGTTTCTCTAGGTATAGAGACTAGTGTAAAATTATTGGATCATAGGGCATATTCAAGTTTAACTTTACTATGTATACGTATGGCAGAACTGAGATCCAAGAGAACTGGTAGGTACAGGGTATGTGTATCTTTAATTTTATAGATGATGCCAAACTATTTTCCAAAGTGGGTATGCATATATATATAGTGTGCATGCATATGTACACCAAGAGCTTTAACCTACCTGTTTGGTAAGTGACTTCCACGTTTTAACAACTGTAATAAACAAATATAAAAGAGTTAGATAATAAATACTTCATGTAATGTACATCTGAATTCAGTAACCATCTACAACCCTAACTCATAACACCAAGCTTCCATATCTAAAAACAAAATATTTTTTGGCTTTGAGATGTGGATCTAAGGTATAGATTTGACTTATGTATTTGTTTCATGTACTATACACTAGTTATAATAAGTGATAGCAGTAGAATAGGAAACATTTTCCATAATCATCTTACTTTGGGGATTTCTGGATTTATAAAGTTAACTTACTCCATGTTAAACATCCTATGGGCTTAAAAACACAAATACTGATATTTATTAAATATTCATACTAGAACATAAAATATGAACATAGAGAAATTATAATTTTAAGGTGCTGCCTATGATGTCTGCTTTATCTCTAGTTACAATTCAAACGCCAGGTCTCTCTAGGGTGAAGGGGAAGGATCGGGGCAATGAGAAAAGGAGATGAAGATGAAAGCAGGTAACACGATAGGGAGACCCTCATCCTGTTCTCCATTCTTTCCCCGTATTTAAGAATCATTTCTAGAACAAGAGTGTTATAATTGAATAAATTACCGAGATCACTTTCTTTTTCTGATTCCTCCTCACACCCTTGAAGATCTCAAACACTATAAATCTTATAATATTGGAATAAATGCTCAGTCACCATTGCTGTTTCCTTTGCTCAGATTTGAAAACTCTGAATATCTAATGTCTGCCCAAGAATTATCTCCAGATTTATATGTGATTAAGTCTTATAACACAGCTGCATTAGGAGCTGGTAAATATTAATTATTTCAGCTACATTACAATAATGATAACCAATAATTTTTTTACATGGCAATGTGGCTATTTCTTTATAATTAACCATAGTTACTGTAAACAGTACATTGAAGTCAAGACTATAAGACAGGCAGTTTTTGCCATGTAACTTTCTTTTTTGTAAGCAATATAAAAAGTCACTTTAAGATCGAAAGCATAGAAGTATGTTCTAAAATTCAGCAAACCAATTTTTATGGAGATTGACTTCTTCTCTATATAGCAACAATATCCTTTTTTTACCCAAGATAATTTATACAAATGTGTAATCAAGTGATTAAAATCACAGGTTTATAAAGAAGTCAGGATTTAGCCTTAATTCTAATACATTTATTTCATCCTCCTTTTCATAATGAACAGAACACTGTAAATAGTATTTATTATCTGTTGCTTTTGAAATATAGCAGTATGAACAGAAGAAAAACAAATGGCACTAAAGTACATGCACATGCTCTTATGCAATGTTCAGAAGCTATTTATCAGAAGAGGAAGTTAGACACACTCTTGAGTTTTGTAGGGTTTATGAGATTTCCAGGGTAAATTATTCACAAAAGACATATTCATTCTGCCGGATATGTCACCATGTTCAGTATTATTAGCTTTTTTTATAAAGACTAAAGAGCCATTAAGATTGTTCTTCAAAGGATTTTCTGATTTTCTAAATTCCTTATTTCATATGAAGTTACTACATATATAAATATAACTTGGGTGAAGAGGGACTTCAATTCTATTGGATGTATTTTATTTCTTCAGCTATAGGTTGATGTTCATCATATTTTTAATACTTTTATGTATGTTTGAAATTTTTAACAATATATTTTTTAAAACTAAAATTAAAATAATACTTGAAGCTACATGAAGGTAATCAATTATTTTAGTTCTAGAAGGGAAACTTACCTTTTAGGTTCTATTGAGGTAGGTAAAATAAGAATTTTTCTAGATTTCAAACACAAAGCTTAATCAACAATCAAATATATCTTGATTAACATTTATTTGAACTATATTAAGCAAATGTTTACACAGCATACCAATTTTTTCCTGTTGATGTCACCATAAAATTATATCAAAGATTTTTTAAAAATATTATGATTATGAATTCAAACGATGATGAAGATAGTGACAATGACAGCTACCAACATGTATTAAGTGCTTACTGTGTTTCTGATATCTTACTAAACACAACCAATATCACTCAATCTTCAAAAATCTCATGAGGTTGCTATTATTTTTATTTTTATAAATGAGGAGACAAAAAAATAAATAATTTAACAAAGTTCTCAAAGCTAGTAAATGAATGCTCAGGTTTAAATACAAGTCTGTCTAATTTCAATATGCCACACTGATATACATATGATTTAATATTCAGTCTATGAAACATTTTCTCTTCCGAGGCAAATATTTCTTTTTGTAACCCTACACTTGAAAAAAAGTTTTTACAAATACTTGATCTTTAGTGATCATTCTTAACTATGTTTTAAAAGTCCCAGTTTGAAACTAACTGATCAGTTAATTTCTGGTTGTTAAATGTCCTGTGCAAGTTTTTTATAATGGAATGTTTTTTCCTGCAAGTGGTAGTTTTGTAATATCTTGAAAAGAATCAAATTTGAAATTTATTTCCAAAAAGTAAAAAGCCACCAACAGGCTTACAGTCAGTATATTATGAAGAAAAAATTCAAGAAAATAATGAATTAAAAATTTTCAAACTATGAAATTCTAAATTAAGCATTACTTATTGAATGACTTCTCAAACATAAATTTGACAAAAATTATAGAATTTGATGCAAAAATACCATTTGATATTCTAAAAAATACATCAACAGTTTTATCAAATCTGTGCTAACTTAATAATAAATATAAAAAGATTTCATACAAAAAATTGTATGAAATCAATTAAACAAATGTATGGAACACATATAGATCTATTTTTGTATAAGGGCCTTTTCTACGTACAGTCTCTATACTTACGAAACTTAAAATATTTTAAGAGGACAAAAAGTATCAAACAACCAATTCCAAGGCGAAACACGGTTATCTGGTACATGGTAAGTACTCAATAAATATTTCTAGAAGGGAGGGAAGAAAGGGAGATTAAAGGAGCGCAGAGAGATATAATCCTTTCCACAGCCCTCAAATTCCTCCAAAAAAGAGCCCTACTCAATTTATAGCCTTTTCTATCACTACTACCTTACAGACTCCCAAAGTGGACTATTCTGAACACATCATTTACTCTCTTGATCCCATGTGTTTGTTCATATAGTTCCCTCTCCTTCAGTTGATAACCTCAGAGTCTCCTGACAAAATATTGCATGATAAAGTCTCTCCTTCAAGTACTATCTTTCATTTCCTCTCTACTTCACAGCCAAACATTTTGAAAGGGTCCTTTATACTCACTGTCTTCATTTCTTCATCTGCTCTTGCAATCTGGTCTTTGTTCTAATCACTACATTGAAACATCATTTTAAAAATCATCAATAACCTTCAAATTACTAAATCTAGTAGACATTTTTCTGTCCTCATCTAACTTGACATCTCATTTGACCATTCTGTTCATTTTCCTTGACTTCTATGACTCCATACTCTTGATTTTGTTCCCATGTTTCTGGATACTCCTATTTTTCCTTTTGAGGCTCATCTTTCAAGCTGTTGTACCTTCATCATTTAAAGTCTAGGAGTTCCTCAAGGATTGGTCCTTGGTCACCTATGTTCTCATTCTATACTGCCTCCTAGACAATCTCATCCATAATTATTGCATTAATTACCAATCACATACAGATGAACCCTAAATATATACTCTACCCAGCCCTCTCCCCTCATCTCCAACGGAAATAATCTAAAATCTAAAATATTAATTGATTAAAAGATAATTTTCAAAGTAGCCAATTTGCCAAATTATTTAGGATTTAATTTTTTTTGAGCTTTTACACATTTTTTTTCACCTCACATAGTTACTTTTTTGGTTACTATTAGGAATGCTTAAGATCTACTCTTTTGGCAAATTTCAATTATACAATACGGTATTATCAACTACAGTAACCATGCTATATATTAGCTCTTAAGGATTTATTTAAGGTTTTGCCATATCCCTAGCTCTGAAGAAAAAGGGCTATAATTTGTTCTAACATAACTTAAGGCATTTGTTTGGCAGTTTCAAGTAGATTATCAAACAACTGATTATTTGGTACATTGATTTTCAATGACTTGAAATGAATGATCAAAAGCCAGATCCAACTGCCTCTTCCATATCTCCTCTTTTGGATATCTAAAGCATCTTAAATCCATCATGTCCAAAGTTGAAGTTACAATATTTCCCTTCAAACCTGGTCTCCACTGCCATCCATACAGGTAAACCAGCCAGAAATTTTTAGTACTCATTACTCCATCATCACCATTACCACCCTTATTAGAAGCTTTTCAAGCCTGGACAAGAGTCTCCTCTCTGATCTGCTCATGCTCACTCTGGCCCTCTTCAATCTATGTCCACCCTGAAAGATCTTTTCAAAACACAATCTAATAATGGTATGCACCTGTTAAAAACAAGACAACAGGTTCAATATGGAGTTCCTTATGCTAAGACCCACATAACCAAGCCACGGCTTAATTACAGTTTCTGTTCTGCCAGAAATGGAATCTTAAATCAGTCAATCAGCACTAGTTTGTAATCTGCCTGAGAGACCCCTGCTGTCCTCTAAAGGAAGGTAGTAACCTTTCAATAACTAACCCACTTTTTTTTTTTGCCTCGTATAACTTTCTTATTCCTGTTCCCTTCTGCCTATAAGTCTTTTGTTTTATACAGCTCCTTGGAGCTCCTCACTATCTGCTAGATTGGATGCTGCCTGATTCATGAATCATTGAATAAAGCCAAAAGGATTTTAAAAAGTTACTCAGTTGAGTTGTTTTCTAACACACCAAATTATTCTGCAGCTTACACTACTGCCATGATTTTCCATTACTTTTAGGATAAAAACAAAAATGTTTAATATAAGCTTACCAACTCAATGATGTGGAACTGCCCCACATACCCACCCTCACTTCATACCATATTCTTCTTTGCTCCTTGCACTATAGCTACCCAGATCTTTTTCCCCTCCTCACATGTATCACATTCCTTCTTGTCATGGCACCTTGATATTTGCTGTTTCTCCTGCTGAAATTCTCTACTCTCAACTTCCTACTAGCCTAGTTAACTCTTATTCACAATTCACATTTCATGTGGATATTTATTTGCCCAGGGAATATCTCCCTGAGCTACCTAAGTTACTTCTCCAAAATATGCTCTCAGAGCCTCAAGTATCTTTCTTTCATGGCACTTATCACAGATATAATTTGCTATTTACTTATTTCATTGATCAGCGCTGGTTTTGTCCACCAGATTGTAAGCATTGTGAGGGTGGAGGGCACCTATTTTTATTTGTTTGTTTCCCTCACCCCTTTATCTCCAGTGCCTAGTGCAATACCCGGCATTGGATAGGTGTCTTTGAGTATGTCGTCATATGCTGTGAGATGAAATGGGAAGTGTGCATAAAGCACTCTGTTGCATTCCAAAGTACTATCGCTGTCTTGAGAGAAAGCACTGTAATTCTTTGAGTTGTGAACTGAACTTTTTTTCATGGAACGTGATTTTTACTTGAAAGAACAACTGACAGACAAATTATGGTTATTTAGACTTAGGTATTTGGCAGGCACTTTCTTACAAATGAACAAAGTCAGCTTTAACTTAAAGAAAACAACTGACAGTATTTGTTGCCAGTAATAACATTAGAGCTTTCAGTAAAAATTAGAGTTTGGGAAAACTTGTATACACCACCATGAGTTTGACAGCTTTCCAATAAGTAAAGACTTTCATGAGAATATTATGACAATATCACTGAATGTGATTTTAAAAATGTATTGTATAATAAATATGTCAACATTTGGAAGATCTGCATAACTGAATCAACCAGTATCTTCGGTTTGATGTTACAAGATTATATAAGGGTAAAAGATCCATTCAAAGTGCAGTGTAGGCCAGTGGATTTTAACATAACAGATGACAAAAGTTTCAAATTCCACACTGCAACTAAACTTTAAGAAACTACCACTAGCCAAGTGTTGATTCAGTATCAAAGAAGAATATCTACAATAATCTGAAAGGGCTATTAAAATACTCTTCCTTTTTCCTACTTCTTTATCTGTGAGGCAGATTTTCTTAATATACTTTATGAAAAACAACACACTGCAACTACTGAATAAAAAAAAGCAAATGAGAATATAGCTGTCTTCTATTACTCACTGAAGAGATTTGCAAGAAGGTACATAATGCCTAAGAGTTTGAAAACCACTGCTCTAACACATGAAAAGATGAGTAACAGTATGTATTTGCCCTGTAGGAGCCATGACAAATACAGAAGAAATATAGGTAGAATTCTTGACCCAGGTCTAGCTTCAAAGCCAGTCCTCTGAATTACTCTGTTCATGCTGGATAGAAGAACTGAATATTATAAAGAATATCAAGAGTAAGGTGGTTTTTAAGTTCAATGAACTGAAAAAGAGGAAATAAATGAAAGTTTGTGAAAAGAGATATCAGTCAGAGTTTATAAGAAATATTAGTCTAGTAAGATTATATAGCATAATGTCTTTTGAAATACATTACTTGGTTAGTTATTCTGAAAACTTATCCTGTTCCACATTTTACAAACCAGAGATAAGAAAAAAATCTTATAAAATTATTAAGAGAATTTAAAAAAACATACTTACATTTGGGCTCATCAGTTGTAACAGCCAAAATAAAATCATATGGAGTCATGAATAACTGTCCTTCACATTCTATAGAAGCAAACAAACGAAATCTCCTTTCCCGAGATGTAGCATAGAGGTCTAAGTCTTCAATGTCTGTTCGGTTGATAGCAACCTAAAGTTAAGAAAGCAAATAAATTTGGACTGTGTGAAATAATGTCTCCTTTTAGAAGCTAAATGCTTTTAATTATGCTGAAAGTGAATTAACAGAGTAAATGACCAAGTGTGAAAATATTGTCTTCTGGAGAACTTAATCATTTTATAAATAAATTACCCATGTGAATAAAATGAACTAATGTTTGAAAGATCCTAGAATAAATATCATTAAGGGCCTGAAAATTCTAAACTGGCACTTTAAAGGACCTGTGATTTACTTCTGAAGTTTCAGTTCCAGAAAACATGAAATTTTCTGAGCTAGTAGTTTCTTTAGAAAGAACATTAACTATTGCTGAATGCCTACTATGTGCTCTCTATTGATCTAATCAGAATTCTGTTCAGTATAGTCTGTTGGTTTTTTTTTTTAAAGATTTTATTTATTTATTTATTTGAGAGAGAGAGAGAGAGCGCACAAGCAGGGGGAGCAGCAGGCAGAGGGAGAGGAAGAAGCAGGCTTCCTGCTGAGCAGGGAGCGCCATGTGGGACTCAATCCTAGGACCCCGAGATCATGACCTGAGCTGAAGGCAGACGCTTAACTGACTGAGCCAACCAGGTGCCCGTAGTCTATTGATTTTCTAAAAAAAGAAAGTGAAACCCTGATATGCTATTCAGGGCTACCACTAAAGAAACCACTTAGTGGCAGCGCTTAGATTAGAACTGAAGTTGCTAACTCTAGATCACTATAGTACAGTTACTACCAATGGTTGCTCTGAATTCTACCTAAGGTTAAGATTAACAGAATTAGAAGAGTGTGTATAAATGCGGGGGGCAGCGGGCAGGAAGTCTCTTTTGTTTTCCTTAATTTCAAGACCTTTCTTTGTGGATAATTTTTCACTGGTCCTTTCTCTCTGAACCACAGCAACTTTATTTTTTAATAGAAGGATTTTTTTTTATTACAAAAGTGATGAAGAGTTATTATATTTAATTCAGAAGACAGAATTTTTAAAATTTATAGGTTTAGTTTTTTCTTTTTCGGCAAAAATGGGATTACACTACACTGTTCAGTAATCTGATATTTTTCACTTACTAATATATCAGGGCTAGTTTCTCATGTCACTAAATACTCTACATACTCTAGTAGACCCTTTTTTAGCAACTGTATAAAATTTCATAGTAAATGTACGATAGCACAATTTATGAATTACATACGGTTGAATATTTATTTAGGTTATTCATAGTATTTTACTATTATAAAACAATGTTAAAATGACCAGGATAGAATATATTTACATATACGTACAAAGAGTTCCTTGAGATAAATTCCTAAGAGTGGATTTGATTGATCAATCAAAATCTTTTCATATATATTTTCACTCTGCCCTAGGGAGTTAATAGCAATTTACAAGATTATCAACAATAATTATATTTTGAACATTTCATAAAAATTACTTTATATTAGAAAAAATTATTATTTAGGATGGCAAGCTTATTCTATTTATTGTCTCTTCCATGTCTATGAGGTCATAATGCAGATTATGTGTAAACTATTAAAATTATTTAAATATCTAATATCTTGAGAAGTCGTATCAAAACAATCCACAAGAACTTTCAAGAGGAGACTACATTTTGTATTTCTAAGTTACACTTTATTAAATGAAAAGCTAGGCAAATGACTAATCTTTTCTCACTATTCTGAAGACTAAGACTTTTAAAAACATTACACAAGTAGTCAATTAAAAACTAAAAGAAAGGTTCATTCCCTACTTTTTAATGGCATGTAAAAGAGATAGAATATATAGTCTCTGCCTTTAAGAAATATGCAATCTATATGGAAGGACAAAATGGTAGTTGGAGAGACAAAAGGTACAAACATGGAAGAAAGTAATGAGTCAGGTTAGAGTAAATCAAAATAAAAAGCACTATAGAGATTGAGGTTAATAAATGGTTTCATGGGGCTCCTGGGTGGCTCAGTTGGTTAAGCGTCTGCCTTCAGCTCAGGTTATGATCCCAGGGTCCTGGAATTGGGACCCTGCATCGGGCTCCCTGATCAGAGACCTGCTTCACCTTCTCCCTCTGCTGCTTCCCATGCTTGTGCTCTCTCTTTCTCTCAAATAAATAAAATCTTAAAAAAAAAAAAAAAGGTTTCTGGGGCACCTGGGTGGCTCAGTCATTGTGTCTGCCTTCGGCTCAGGTCATGATCCCAGGGTCCTGGGATCGAGCTCCGCATCGGGCTCCCTGCTCAGTGGGGAGCCTGCTTCTCCCTCTCCCTCTGCCCACCCCCTCCTCATGTTCTCTCTCTCTCTCAAATAAATGAATAAAAATCTTTAAAAAAAAAAAAAAGGTTTCAGGAAGAAAAAAAATGAATTTTAATGTCAGGAAAAGATATGAGCATTCTAGGTTTACAAAGAATATCTGAAAAGATGGTAAGAACCTTCCCAGAGCAGAGGATTTGCATTCATGGAAAAGGGTAAGTAAACTGATAAGATTTCTGAATGCCAGACTAAAACACTGGAATTTAATCTGATAGAAAACATGGCTTTAGGAGATTCTTACGTAGAGCAATGACACAAAGAAAATGATGCTTTAGAAAGATAACGCAGCTCCATACCAGAGACAAGCCAGTTCAGCAGTACGTTAGTAACAATTACTCAGGTAATCCATAGGTACTGGGAAACTGTTTTGGCTCTGTCATGGGTGAGAAGTGAGACACTGAGCAACTTAACGTCAATAATGGGCAATAATCTCCCTGAATAGTCCTCAAGGATTGGTCTAACATCTTAGGTCCCTTTCTATACATATATTCCAGGGGGTTCTTCTTCCTCCTAGGACAGGGAAATCAATCTTGTCTGTGACCACAGTTTTCTCTCCTGCTTTCTTCCTGCTAGGCCATTTCCTTGGACCTAACTGGTCCCAATCAACCATGACTGATTTTCCAGAGAATTCCCTGAAGGACCACTCTGTGTGGAACTCTCATTGTTTCTGCACCATTATCTGAAGCCATGCCTTAGTCTAACATCTTGAACCAGTTTTTGCCCATAACATCTTTATTTGTTATGATCTAATATGGACTTGATCTGTGACTTCCGCCTCTACCTGCTGCTGCCATTACTGCTTATGATGTACCTGTGTTTTCTCATGAAACTTTCCTTCCTAAGTGTCTGTCATTGGTCCCAGCACGCCAAACCCGCTTGACCACTGCAGCTGGGAATTTGATCCACCTTCCATGAGCTAATGCTGACAACTCTTCCTTCTCCTTAACTTCTACTAACAATCAATCAACAAAACCTGTTGTTCTCCCTCTAATTTCTCACATCCGCCACAGCCACCACTTTTGTGTAAGCACACACTACTTCCCTAAAATTTTACAGTAATGGCCTGTGATTTTTGCCTCTAATCCATTCTCTACTCAGAGAGAACAGGCAGAACTATAGGACAGTGTGAATCCTTTAACCACCTGAGTAACAGTTTCAGAAAAAATCTGACCAAGTAGAGTTAAGTTTTCATTTAAACTCCACTGTAGGAAAGAAATTGAAGATGACACAAAGAAATGGAAAAATACTCCAAGCTCATAACTGGAAGAACAAATGTTGTTAAAATTTCTATATTACCCAAAGCAATCTACACATTTAATGCAATTCCTATCAAAATACCACTAGCATTTTTCACAGAGCTAGAACAAACAATCCTAAAATTTGTAGGGAACAACAAAAGACCACGAATAGCCAAAGCAATCTTGAAAAAGAAAAGTAAAGCTAGAAGCATCACAATTCAGGATTTCAAGTAATATTACAAAGCTGTAGTGATCAAGACAATATGGTACTGGCACAAAAACAGACACATTGATCAATGGAACAGAATAGAAAATTCAGAAATGGACCCACAACTGTATGATCGACTAATCTTCGACAAACCTGGAAAGAACATCCATTGGGAAAAGGACAGTCTCTTTAACAAATGGTGTTGGGAAAACAGACAGCAACATATAAAAGAATGAAAGTGGACCACTTTCTTACACCATATACAAAAATTAATTCAAAACGGATGAAAGACCTAAGTGTGAGACAGGAAAACATCAAAATACTAGAAGAGAACACGGGTAGTAACTTCTTTGACATCAGCCGTAGCAACTTCTTACTAGATTGGGAGGCAAGAGAAACAAAAGCAAAAATGAACTACTGGGGCTTCATCAAAATAAAAACCTTCTGTACAGTGAAGGAAACAATCAACAGAACTAAAAGGCAATCTTCAGAATGGAAGAAGATATTTGCAAATGACATATCTGATAAAGGGTTAGTATTGAAAATCTATAAAGAATTTATCAAGCTCAACACCCAAAAACCAAATAATCCAATTAGGAAATGGGCAGAAGACTTAAATAGACATCTTTCCAAAGAAGACATCCAGATGGCTAACAGATATATGAAAAGTTGCTCAGCATCAATCATCATTAGGGAAATACAAACCAAAACTACAATGAGATATCACCTCACATCTGTCCGAATGGCTAAAATTAACAACACGGGAAACAACAAATGTTGGCAAGGATGCGGAGAAAGGGGAACCCACTTACACTGTTGGTGGGAATGCAAACTGGTGCAGCCACTCTGGAAAACTGGATGGAAGTTCCCCAAAAAGTTAAAGATAGAACTACCCTATGATCCAGAAATAGCACTACTAGGTATTTACCTAAAGGATACAAAAATATTGATTCAAAGGGATACATGCACCCCAATACTTAATGGCATTATCAACAATAGCCAAATTATGGAAAGAGCCCAAATGTCTATTGATTGATGAATGGGTAAAGGAATTGTGGTGTGTGTGCGTGCGTGCGTGTGTGCGTGTGTATGTATAATGAAATATTAATCAGCCATCAAAAAGAAATGAAATCTTGCCATTTGCAACAACATGGATGGAACTAGAGTGTATTATGCTAAGTGAAATAAGTCAATCAGAGAAAAATACCATATGATTTCACTCATATGTGGAATTTAAGAAACAAAACAAATGAACATGGGG